ATTAAAGGATCCATAAATTTTGTTTCCTGTCCTCATGTGATCGTTTTTCTATTTGAATGGTCAAAAATCTTAAATGCAAAAGATTTCGTCGTGACTAAATTTCGTTTCATTTCAAATTAGGTCGAAAAAAAAATTTCGTCAAAATATTTATCCGAAATTTAGTCAGGATGAAAGATTTGTAGTTAATTAACCGAAAGCTCAAAATCAGTAGTTTCGGCAAGAAACACTACTTCACTTACTGCTAAAACCTTCGGGTATAGTACAATAAACATCTCTAAGCAATTCTCCTTGCTTTAAAAGAAATACGGTTTAATATAAAACTTCAGAGATTCATTGCTTGGTGGTCTTATTTTGCCTCAATATCAGATTAAAAAAGAAGTTTAAAATTCATCTGGATTTGCACACTGAAGTAAGTACAGCACTGTCTACACGGTACCAAGTACACGGCAATAGAGGCGTGACATTAATCTTCTGTACATTTTGATGACAGTTTTGTCCGAAACTTTTGGTACAGAGTAAAGTTAAACAAAGAAGTTTATATATTCAACGACAGTAACAATCATTCGATACTTACTATAAAAGTGAAAGAAGAACACAGAATTTTTTAATCTTCATTCTTTTTCTGCAGACTTTCACTCCTCAAAATTTTATCACAGAATAGAACGATTTGTCTTTCTAAAACTTAATAAGGGAACAGAGTATATTTTCCTGTTGTCATAGCAGGTATCAAAAATTGCTTTTAACACATACATTGTGAAGTAGATAGCCTCAATTTAGATTCCAATCTAATGCAATTCATTTCTAATCTATCTAATGCAATTCATTTCTATTGGAGATGAATATCTTCGGCAAGTGACCTTCGCAGACGAATCGTCTTTAGTATTCAAGAAAAATATACTATGAATTTTGCCTGTTTTGAATTTGTCCGCCATTTAAATTCCAATCTAATGCAATTCATTTACAATCATCATTTACTATTGGGGATGAATATCTTCGACAAGTGACCTGCGCAGACGACTCGTCTTTAGTATTCAAGAAAAATATACTATGATTTTTGCCTGTTTTGTATTTGTCCGCCATTTAGATTCAAGTCTAATGCAGTTCATTTACAATCATCATATACTATTGGGGATGAATATCTTCGGCAAGTGACCTGCGCAGACGAATCGTCTTTAGTATTCAAGA